TAAAAAGCAGTAATTTAAGTATCACGTTTTGCCCATATTCATTTCGTTTTATTTACTTGCCGGCTATTTTTAAGTTTCTGCCTTTCTTTGATGGGATTTTGATGTTGGCGCGGACTGGCGGACTTGTTTAAACCCAAGTAGAGCATCAACGAAAGCGAATAAAGGCTGAAGATCGCAGCAAAAATAAAATAAAATTAAATAAACTAAGGAAACGAACGGAGCCTAACCAAATAAGTATTCGCACGAGACAGGCGAAATTCTGAGAACAGTTGCTTAAAAATCAAGTTGACCCGGCAGTTGGATACCCAAATAATTTCGACCGATTTTAGCCGGTTTTCTGTGCCTCTCGGCTGTAAACATCATGTCTGGCCTTCACTTAATTTATTGGCAAAAAAGATAACAGAAAACAACACAAGGCAATAGTTTGTTGGTAAACAAAGCTTTAAACAAATGAACAGTTCGAGGCGACAATTAATCAAGAACTCTTCTGTTGGAGGCAAACAAGTTTTAACCATTAAAATTCTGGGAAGGAGTCACACATTTCAGAATTCGAGATGATGAGTAAGATCGGTTTCAGAACCCTTGCTGAGTTCTAACAGACAAATTAGAGCTCTGTCTCAAACTCCATTCCATTAATTATCATCCAAAATATGTGCCTAATGGGAATTTAAGTTTACAAGTTAAATAACTGGATTGATTTATGAGTTATTATACAATTACGAAACCTCAAAAGTTGTTCGCCAATCTTAGTGCAACTTTGTGAATTTAATTTATTGAAAATAGGCCACACCAATTTTTATATTCTATGTCAGATAAGAACATTTACTACTTTAAATGCATAGTCCTTGCCAGATTATGACTCTAATTTATTATAGTTTATTTCCCCTGTGGAAGTGGAAGTCGCACAAATCAATCCTTATCAATATATAGTGGCGGTAATTTGCGGCACACGCTTATTTAGCATTGATTTGAGGTGCTGATGAGGTGTCAGGTGTCCGGACATGCCCCAAAAAATTAACAGAGCGCTACTTGTTAATGATCTAAACTTTCCCAATGACGTACCCTCTTGGTCAATGCTAATCACAGACCTCCACCTCCTGAGTTCGCAATATCCCCCGAGATTTGGCTATAGTTCTGGTCCGATCCGATGCGATCCTATTCGATTTCGTCCACCAAGTCGAAACCTTGCCTATATTTTGTGACTTATTTGTATTTGTGTATTTTGGGCACGTTTTTCTGGTTATATGGAATCGAGAATTTATAGCAAACATGACTAGAGATTTCGTATTTTTTAACGCTTTTTTGATTGTTCAGTTTCGGTTATTTTCGAGTGCTAATTTGAATACAAGTCGAGTGTTTCGGTTTATTGTTGCCCGCTCGTTTGATGATGCTCACCGATGTCTAGACAAGCCGAGTGGCGTTATTTTCGTATTTTTTTGCATGACATTAACATGATATTGTGGCCATAATCAGCGGGGTGGGCGTGTCCCGTCCAGACAGGCGATAGACTGGCCCCGATAGCCGCTTCCACCAGCTGATAGCGATTTTTTCATTTTTTCACCTTCTTTTTGTATGGGAAAGTCATTTGGAGCCACTTTATTATTTATTAAAATCGGTTGGCTTATAAATTTACACCGACACTTGTGAGCATTTCCCTGAAATTGAAGTGTGAGCTGACTGGGGTTCAATGCCACTTGAAATTTATTAATGTGATTTGCGAAAAATGCAGCCCGCGCGAACAATGCACTTTGCCACTTAATAAGCGCCCAAAAAGTGACAGGCTGAGTCCGAGTTGCTTGTGGACACCACTTAATGATCTTCGAGTTCATGTCTTTGGTTTCAAAAGAATGTGATTCACTTGGCCTGTCTTCTCCTTGAAATCCAGCTGCACCCACAATCCGTTGATCCTCAAATCAAATTCATGGGCCATTCGATATGCTATTGAGGTCACTTGACAACGACGGTTAAGTTTTCTCACTGCGATTTTATTGGCTCATTAATATGGGCAATTAATGCTTTTATATGGGCTGCATCGTGTAATGAAAACAACAGATTACATCAGATAATAAGTGTAGTGTGCGGGATGTAGTGAGTTGATAACAAATCAGTTCAAATGGGTGTAAACAAAACGTGTATTAGCTTTTTATACATTAACAGAGGCTCATAATCCAGGTAGACTTTATTTGTATATATATTGTTTAATGTTACTTGAAGAAATAACTTCAAAGGTTATACTGCTCAATTTAAATGTAGTAAAGTTTTGTTATCAGAAATTGGGTCGTTCCCTGGGTGGGTTTTTATTTAGTCGCTGGTCGCCTGATTTTCGGCAGCTTGGGAATATTCCAGAGCTGAATTTTAAGTGCCTAACCTTTCGACGACCCCGACGAATTTGGCGAAGCTCCGACTTATTCGCCATGTACTACAGTATCATTTGCCTTGGATTCTATCATTAATTGGACACCGCTCTTCCCTTCCAGACTTCCTGTCATGCCGCCAAGTTCTGAACCTGCTGACCATGCTCGGCTTCATGCTGAACTACGCCCTGCGAGTGAACCTCACCATTGCCATCGTGGACATGGTCCGACCCAATGTCACATCAGCGGGAAATGCCACTCTAACGGGGAACGGTACGGCGGTCAATAGCACTGCATCGCCGGACGGAGTGGATGTGTACGAGGAGCGCTTCCCGTGGGACACATATCAGACCAACTTCGTGCTGGGCTGCTTCTTCTGGGGCTACATCCTCACCGAACTGCCGGGCGGTCGTCTTGCCGAGCTAATCGGTGGACGCCGCGTCTTCGGACATTCCATGCTGTGGGCCAGTTTGCTTACCCTGATCACGCCGCTGGCGGCGCACATCAACTACGTGGTGCTCATCGTGGTGCGAGTGGTGCTCGGCTTCATGCTGGGTGCATCTTGGCCAGCCATTCACCCAGTCGCCGCCGTCTGGATTCCGCCCATGGAGCGCTCCAAGTTTATGTCCAACATGATGGGTAAGTAGGAGTTATTTGTCCGTAGAAACTCCCTTAAGCGGACAGGTTGGTTGTCCGCTCAAGAGAGGCTTCGTACCTGTATTGTAAAGACTTCCTTTCTCTAACATAAATTTTTTATTCCATAGCTTCTTCTCTTGGTGCTGCAATCACCATGCCCATCTGCGGCTACCTGATCTCCGTCGCTGGCTGGGCCAGTGTGTTCTATCTGACAGGAGCCGTGGGTCTGCTGTGGTCCTTGGCCTGGTTCACCTTTGTCTATGAGACCCCTGCCACTCATCCCAGGATTTCTGCCGAGGAGAGGCGGGAAATTGAGGACGCCATTGGCACAACTACCTCCAAGAAGCGCCCGAGCCATGTGCCCTGGGCCCAGCTGCTCTGTTCCCCGGCTGTGTGGGCAATCATCATCTGTCACGGCTTGGCCGTATTTGGATTCTTCACCGTGGTCAATCAGTTGCCCACTTTCATGTCCAAGATTCTGCACTTCGATATCAAAAAGGTGGGTTTGTTGGCCAAGGCTTACCGGGGATTTTATCTTTACTAATATATTTCTTCTTCTGCAGAATGGTTTGTTCTCGTCGCTGCCTTATCTGGGTAAATACGTTATGGCTGTGGCTTCATCCTACCTGGCTGATTACCTGCGCAAGAAGGGCACTTTGAGCACTACTGCCACCAGGAAGCTATTCACTACTTTTGGTAAGTAAATTGTAATATCACTTAGGATATTCCAAGCATACAAAGTGTTCTTTGTGATACATTTGTCATAAACAATCTTTTCTTATTTACAGCTCTTGTGATTCCGGGTCTTTTGATGATTGTGCAAGTGTTCCTGGGCTACGATGCCACCTGGTCGGTCACCATCTTCTCGCTGGCCCTGTTTGCCCATGGAGCTGTGACCGCTGGTTATCTGGGCAATGGCTTGGATATTGCCCCGAACTTTGGAGGAACCATTTTCGGACTGGCCAACACGCTGTCTTCCTTTGGTGGCTTCCTCTCCACGTGGATGGTGGGAGCCCTCACCTACAAGGATGTGAGTGAATCTAGCTTGAAATTCTATATTAGATAAAATAATAACCTGAGTATTTTATGAAACCAACAGGAATCCTTCCATTCGTGGCAAATTGTATTCTGGATTCTAGCAGCCACCTACATCTCGGGAGCAGTGGTGTTCGCCATCCTTGGCAGCGGTGAACTGCAGTCGTGGAACAATCCGCCAGAGCGTGTTAGGATCAGCGATGTCACCCAGGAGGAGGGTGTGCCCCTCAAGAACGAGAAGTGATTTCACATCGCCAGTGAGACTAATTCGGTGCCACTGCTGTTCCTGACGAGCGGAAGGGAATGAGAGCCAAGTGGAAGATATCGACCCACCGAGAATCATCATCTGCACAAGTTATAGTAGTTGCTACTTGCACCATTGAGATTACGGGGCTTTAATTTGGCCATCCCTTAATCAGAGAACTATAGACCGAAAGGCACCGAACACTCAGTACACAGAGAAAAACATGATATGAAAGACATTATTTTTATAGACACTGCATGGTTTTTTCGCACAAAGAACACACAAACATCTCATACCCATACAAAAAACCCAAAAACCACTATACACCGATGCACTCGTCTGCTAAATGGAAATTGACTATATTTATAAGTAATATTTACTTTAGTACGCCTACATATGTAACTGTAGGCAATATGTATGTAGCCTAAATGATTTATAGTATTCTGTATGTCCACAGAGCGCACAGTCGGCTGGTGGAAGGACCTCATCCTATTGTCGATCCACGATCAGCTGCTGTGCCCCATATGTTTCGTTTAATTTATAATGTAGCCCATAACTACTGTCTAGCTTAGATGAACAAAATACTTATGCAAGTAGGGAAATACATAAAGATGTGCCGATAGTATAGCTAAGTTGATAAAACATGTAACTTTGTACTATTGAATATTTATGTAATTAATTTAAACATTTGTAAGTTCATAATAAAGCGTAACTAAAAAGAAAGAAAAATGTTGGTGTTTTAATGGGGAATATAGCAGTGCGCTACATACCCAAAATCTTTATATACAGTAAAAAAATACAAATGCCTCCAGAAACTTTTAACGTTTAATATACAAGCAGTTATTAATATATTTAAGCAATTTAAAATGTAGTTTACCTTTATACATGATTTTTACATGAGCTCGATTTGAATAAACTTTTATTTACTTTTTATTGCCTACTTGCAGGCTGGCCAATAAAACGATTCGCTAACTTAAGTTTAGTTTTAATTTTATTTACAAAAGATAGCTAAGCCATACTACACACAGATTTGCTAAGCACCCAAATACACTAGTATTTGTATACAGAGGTTAATTAGTAACTAGATAAGCGCACAACCTAAGTGTCCGTCTCCAGACTGACATCCATTAGCTCCTTGGTGATCTCACTCTTGCTCTTGAGCGGATCAGGATTGCTCAGCGTGTTGGTGTCCTGGCTGAGAGCAGGTGGAGGCAGCCTAAAGCCACTTGGACCACCCAATTTGAGGGATCCTCCTGCGAAGGCAGGAGGCACTGTTGTGGTGGATGTGGTGCTGGAACTGGTGGCCATTTTGTAGAGCAACTGCAGCTGCTTTATGGCATTGGAGGGATCTGCTGCCTGTGCATTCTGATAATTGCCTGGCGCACTTTCTTTTGCCGGTCTTTTGAGCTGTTCCCTCGTTTTGGGCTTCTGCGGTTTCATGCCATTCGACCAGGTCTCCAGCCAGCTGGCCCCATTCCTCTCCGTGGAGGTCATCAATCTCTCCGCCTCCTCCATCACCTGCTGGCGGTAAAGTTGACGGGCCAGAGCCTTCTGATCGCTCTGACTCACCTGGCGCTTGTTGAACGATTGATCATCCTGCTTGGGCTCACCGATAGGACGGGTCTCCTTCTGGGGACCCAGTTCCACCATCACCTGAAAGTCCGCATGCTCGCCCAGGCGAAAACCAAAGCCCAAACGGGAATCAGTTCCTGTTTAATAAGAAATCGCATGGATTAGATGGTTCGAGGTACATACGCATCAGCTTACCCTTTTTAATCGGTGGTATATTGGAGTAAACTATGGATAAGATGGAGGGCAGTTCCTGGGGCACAATGAAAGCTGATGCATTTTGTGCTGTAATTATACAATATTTCATTTACACGTTGAGCCCAATGATTGTATCTCTCTTCTGCCGGCCAAGTCCCAGCACTTATGTAAATTTTTGGCCAGTTATTTTAGGGCGGATTATGTAACTGCTTTATGGTCTTGGGTTTTCGGATTCACAGATGACTAACAATGCGTATGCTTGATGTCTTACAGCTCTAAGGTCCGTTTCACTTTGAAGGTCGCTTAAAAATCGAAAGTAATACAACTTTATCTAGATAAACTTTTGTAATCGTACCTTGTGCATAGCAGTTATCTTTGATTAAACAAATTTCATGTAGAAACAAACTTGATTAGTTGTAATCAGCAGATCTATTTAGAATTCAAGGAAATTATACTTATACTAAATTAATTAAGAAATCTATTTAAAGCAATTCTGTGACTTAATCTAATTATTTTATTATAATTTTTTCATGTACCCAACTAGTTTTCCATTTCAATGGAAAAATACTTAATGGTTGTACTCCTTGTACTTTGATCGCAAAGCGTACTATACAAGAACTATTAGGTAACTCATTAAGCACCGCACCGCCATAAAACACAAAAAATAAAAACGAATCACATTGCGAGACAGACAATGAGACCCATAGACGAACCACAGGTTAAACAACAACTGCGGCGATCCGACGACCTTGACACAAAGACCGGCAACAAGTTGAAGCTCATATGAGAGCTCAGGGTGCCAAAGTCTGTCTTGGAGTCACCCGAAGATCTCGATAGACTGTCGCCGGATCGGTTGAAGTAGTTGGACCGGTTACAAATGCTCCAATCTGGGCGATTCGAGCGATTTGGCAGGCAGTTACTTACTGTGGAGCAGGCCGATCAGCACGGGCAGCCAGAGGCTAGCGAAGCCCCATTGTTTTGGCCAAGACATCATGACCAGCAGCAGCAGTCAGCATTTATGTGGAGCCGCAGAAACTGCAATTACACACAGGCGATTACTTCATGCCACCAGATATGATTACTATTTGTTGCAGAATTTTGCTGCGAACCAGTCCGTTTTTTGCCGCGTTTGCGCAACATTCAGAAAACCCGATTTCTGACTTGAGGTTGGTCAGTTGTTCGCTTGAAAAAAAGCAGGTGCGTCATTTGGATAAATATTTGAAATATTTGAGTTGCCAAGTTGTCATTGGCCGCTTTTGTTTACACGATTTCGATTCAAATGCGATATGCATACACACACACACACACACACACACCATACCATACCATGCTATACTATACTATGTTTTTTGGGTCTGGCTCGAAATAAAAGCGTAAATACAAAAATCCACAAAGCCAACAACACAGCAACGCGGTTTGGAAATCACTCTCACTTTTGTTCAATGAGCTTCGTATTGTTGCTGCTTTTTTATGTTTTTATTTTTGGTTGGGTTTTTATTTATTTACATTTGTTTTTCCTTTACAGTTTGGCCTTGTCTCATTTAGGCCCTGATTGATTTCTGACTTCTTTCGGCATTTTTTACTGCTGTAAATTCATTTACACGCTAACTGCCCAAATTGCTGCTAATAAACTGAGCAAACATCACGCAGAAATTTCGGATCGCATAAAAATGAAAGTTAGTGGTCTCAAAAATGCCTTGCTATTTTCGGCAGTACTGCAATTTTTTTTTTTTTTTGGTTTCTCAGCAACAACAAAACGCAACGCACATACGAATGGCATAATTAAACTAACGTATCTTCGGTTCAATTCAATTCGACTTGATTTGAACTCCTTAGCGAGTGCCCACCGTGTTTCAATTGACAACTTGTCTGCTGCGCGTCTGCAAGGCAACTGAGTTGAAAATCGAGAGTGTTTGCGGCTGTGCAACACGCGCTAAAATTCCAACGCAGTGTCGCTCTCCGCGGAAAGCTGGGCTCTGCACTGAAAGAAAACAGGGTATATGTCATGACTCAGACCTGCTTAAAACGTGATCTGTGTATTGACAACAGTCACCTGATGCAAAAGCTTACTTTATCTTTGGTGTATAGATGTATATTTTAATATAATTATGAAGGTATAATTTATTTATTTTTCTTGCATTTCTTATTATATTATTTCTCAGTTTAGATTAATATTACAAAATAATTTGCAGTGTGAAAAATGCCTATCAGTGAATATATGTAGTTATATAGTAATATTTATATTATGAATATTAAATCCTCAAATGTATTTATTACATTAATATATTTATACATATATTTAAGCCATATTTTTTCCCACTGTACAGTAAATCACGTAACTTTGCGCGGTAGCTGCGTACTCTCTTTCCATTGAGCCGCGCTTCAAACTGAAACTGAAACTGACTCCGAGCTTGAAAACGAATCTGAATCTGAAACTGAGACCGGCTGTTGGCATCTGCTCCATTAACGTCATCTCCGACTGAAATTGGCGCACTTTGCTTGGACCCGGGTGTTGCCTTCTGGGGTTTTGTGTTTATTTTTTATACTTTCTGTACTTTTTTTTGGCACATTTTTGTGGCATTGTGAAAGGTTGCTTCAGGGCGGCTCAGTTTTATATCGCTTTTCATAAAATAAAGTACGAAAAGGATGGCATTTTATTGAGTTGTCTGAAGCCTACAGCGGTGATTATGTTCAAGCTGCGAAAAGAAAGTCGCTAATAAATATACGAGTATTGCATTTTCAAGATATTTTATGCAGCAGTTAAGATTGCGGCTTAAGAAATTAAAATTAGCACAAGTAGAAAAAATATAAAACGATATATTACTGTTTACCTTTTGACTCCATGCAAATGTTTTTACCAACTTTTTAGGTTCATTGCACCCCGTAATTACCATAAATGCCAATGCCTCTTTGACGATCGTCCTAACATGAAAAAGTCTAGGTACCATATGTAATGGTACCCAGTGAACCACGACGATCGTTTCGCATAGCCACAATATGGATTATATTGTATTGTATGCATACTTTGCATAACTCAGGTCCGGTTGACATATAGACCAACTGCACATGCCCCCTTTAACGACCCTTAGTCTAATTAACGAAGACGCACGTTGTAACTTTATGTACGTACATTTTGCTTAATTGCCCAGCCATAGAGCAGATGTGCCAAAGAAACCAGTAAAAATATTTATGCAATAGGCGTTGGCAGACTCACACACACCTGCACAGGAAGAAACTTAGACAAGTAAGATATTGTCCTTATAAAATACATAATACCTCTTATATTTGACTAATTAGAGGTCTTAAATCGCTGTAATATAAAGATATTTATTTAAAAATATACTATTTTGTACAGTGTATATCCCAGCCAAAAGCAAACAAGCGGAGCGGTCAATGCATGAAGTGCAAATAGCTTGGGAGGCTGCATCTGCATAATTGCCATTGCAATGGATATGTCGGGGCTCGTCTTCACTTTTCAATTGTTTGCTTTGCAATTGGTAGTCTGCTAAAATTCATAAAAATAAGCGAAAAGAAGTGGAAAATGAATATGACACTGGAACTTTGAAAACTGAAAACATTTAATAAACGACTGAGCTTTTAACCAATGCACCTGAGTTACATTTTGGGGCTGCCTCTAAATTTGTATAGTTTGTTATAATTTGTAGCATACTTTTGGGGTGTTCCTTTACATGTTGCAAATTGCAATGATAAACATATATGTAAGTTACACTTTCTTCAGAGTTTTCTTCAGCATTAACAAAAAATGTAATTAAAATAACCCATTTATTGGGTTATTTGGGCTTACTTGTTTCGTTTTTATTTGATTCGTATTCATACATTTAACATTTAACAATTGTTTCACAGTTCAGCGACATTATTAATTGTAAATAATTAATTTATATTTATTTTAATTCTCTTAATTGTTGTTGTTTGTTATGTTATTTATACTACACACTACACTAACAACGACGTGTAAAAATAAATGTATTTTTATGTAATATTCTTCGTTTCTGTGTTTCTCTGTTTTCCCGGAACCAACACTTATGGCCATCGCATAAGGAGTTGGTTCCCATCTAGCTTGGTGCTGCTTCCGGCATCGGAAACCGGATGAGTGTGGCATTTGGAACAGTTTCTGTCCGTTAGGTAACGAGGTACAGTGCGCCTTGTTGCGAATCGACACAGTCAACTCCGTCATCAATGGGGGCCCTTCATCAATGCCACGCGAACAGCGAATGCGAAACGAGCAGGTAGCCCGTGGTGACAATAATGCTGCCGATCATGATGGGAAAGCCAACTCTGTGGGTTGGGAACTGAAATTAGTACAGTGTCCCCGTGCAAGGATAACCCAGACCTACTTGAAGAACTGCAGGAAGGTGAACTTGTAGCCGTGCTGCTCCGCCACTCCGGCACAGACCACATTGGCAGAGGCGCCGATCAGCGTGCCATTGCCTGGAGGAAATTGTTGCACATAATTCTAGATAATCCGGTGGAGCAAAGAACTGCTACTTACCTCCCAAACAGGCGCCCAAGGCCAGGGCCCAAACCAGAGGCTGTAGTGGCAGATTCAAGGTGCTATTCTGCGCCAGCGATATGGTGATCTTGACCATCATCGTGGTCAGTGGGATGTTGTCCACAAAGGCGGAGGCCACAGCGGAAACCTACAGAAAATAGTGGTATATAAAAAAAATAGCGGTCATAATATACTGCGAAACCCACCCAAAGAATGATCAAAATGGCCACCATCAGGCGCCGATCCTCGCCGACTCCCAGGATAATGCCCTCGGTCATGTTGCCGATCCACTCAATCAGTCCCAGTTCCGTCAGGGCTTCCATGAGAATAAAGAGAGCGGCGAAGAAGAGCAGCGTGGACCATTCCACGCGAGCCAGTATGGCCTCCATGTCCTCGATGTCCGCCAGAATGATGAGGAATATGGCGCCCAGCAGAGCGGTCCACCCTAAAGACAGTCTTTGGAGTTCGGGAACCGAGTGCAGGAAAAACAAACTGATCACAAAAAGTAAGGCGGCGGAGCACTTGATTAGCAGCGGCTTGTTGCGAATGGGGTACTGCAATGACCAACATATAATAAGTAAGAGTTGTATTATATCTAAGATATACCCACCTTTGCCTGAAGATTGGCCAGAGTTTGTTGGTAATTGGGTGCCGGTTCTATGACCGCCGTCATGCGTTTCTTAAGGCTCCTCTTCAGGCGGTTCACCTTCTTCATCAGTGTCTGCCGTACCAGCTCCTCGTCCTTGGAATAGGCAGATAGACTGGCGGCCGCCCGCTTCCACACGTGAATCTCGTGACGCAGTTCCTCCACCTCCGGCGAGTCCTTGAACTGCAGATCACTGATGTTGCGAAACTTGAAGCGCAACTGGATATAGGTCTGCACCATCACCAGGAGAACTCCGGGCAGCATGTGCAAGGTGAAGACAGCAAAATTGACGCCCTGGAGAATAAATATGTCAATATCTATATATAAAAAGAGTTTCCGATGATCCTACATTTTTGGATATGTAGCTATTCGAGGCTATGATGACGTTGGGCGGATCCCCCACTGGTGTCAGTGCCCCGCCAATGTTCGAGTAGATGACCATGCACATGAGTATGGGCACCGGATTGAGGCACATGACCTCGCAGAGTCGTATCGTCACCGGAGTCATGAGCAGCACGGTGGTCACGTTGTCCAGGAAGGAGGACAGCACAGCGGTGAACAGGCAGAGGCAATTGATGAGTGGCCAAACGTGTCCGTTGGTTATCTTGTAGGCATACACAGCCAGATAGTCAAAGACTCCCGTCTCGGAGAGAATGGCCACCAGGATCATCATGCCGAAGAGCAGCAGCAGTGTCTCCACATCGATCCAACCCATAATGGTGGCCATCGAGGGCCTGGAGTTCAGTGCAGCCAGTATGCCAACCGACAAAGTGGAGGCGATGATGGCAGCAAAGGTTCGATTCACAATCTCCCAGATGATCATCACATACAGACCGCAGAGCACAGCCGCAGCATAGATGACTCCGTCCCTCTTGTAGATGGGTGACTCATCCACATTCAGCTGGAGCGGCAGTTCCCCCTCGATGGAGCTGGTGAACTCGAAGCTCAGCTCCGTGCGATTGGCCTGGGCCAACCACAACGGATCAGTGGGACTCAGCTCGAAGGTTCGCTGCTTCTTCGTGTCCCTGGTGGCGTCTATCAGATCGGGATAGACCACGTCCAGTTGCCACACCTGGCTGGCATTCTCGATGTAGATCTCCATGCCCTCGCCATCGAAGTAGCTGCGCATCACCTGCACCTGGAGCAGGGGCAGTGGAACGCTCGCGTTGATGGTCAGCTCGTTCTCCTGCAGCCGGAAGGGTCCTCGCAGGCCCAGGCCAATCCTCTGCAGGCTGGCGGTGGCAATGGGAAACACTCTGGGTGAGCTATTCCTAGGAACACTTATGAGGCTCAGCTGGTCCACATGCTCGTTGTTGGACATCAGGAAGGCGGTGAAGACGCACCAGACCACCAGGAGCACGGCTATCTTGAACCAGATGAGATACTTTCGTATCTGAAAAATAATAAATACATTATGGTATATATCTCTGATTATGATCTCTGACATTGATGTGTACATACCAAACTTTTGGCATGCGGTTCGGCCTCCTCGTGCTGATCATCGTTGTTGTTCTCCAGATCCCTGCAATGGGCACGGGGAATCACAGAAAACTGGTTGCACTAATTACGTAACTGACAATCGAGGCGCACAGAACTACGAACCTGCCATCGAGTACCCGCACCTGACCCG